ATATGTGTTTTGTTTGCTTTTCTATTAGATTATTTATGTTTTGTTTCTTTATTTGGGTTGTTGGTTTATAGTTAGGGGTTGGGAATTAGGGGTTAGTGATTAGGATTAGGGATTAGGGATTTAGGGATTAGGGGTTAGGGGTTCGGGATTTGGGTTTATTGTTGTTTTGCTTGCTCCTCCTCCTCATCATTCTTATCCTATTTTTTTTCTTTTATTGTTTCTGATATGTTTTGGATTTTCATTTTTATGTGCGTAACTAATCTAATGTGTATTGTGATTTCAGTTGTTGGTGGAATAGACGAGATAAGCTTGCAAGCGGAGTTTAGGAGCGAAAAGCTAAGTATATATCCATTTTTGCAAATTTGATTGCCTTTCTTTTATGTGTAAAATGTGTTTTACACATGACTATTTGTACATCTTCTTGTGTTTCTTATTTGTTATGATCATTTTTTCTATTATTTTTAATTTCATACACTCTCATTAACCCACTGTTTGTTGTTCATGTTTCGTTATTGTTTTCATCTTTTGCACCACCTATAATTGCATAGCATTTCTTTGATTATATGTGCTTTGTTTGCTTTTCTATTAGATTATTTATGTTTTGTTTTCTTTATTTGGGTTGTTGGTTTATAGTTAGGGGTTGGGGAGTAGGGCTTAGAGAGTAGGATTTGGGATTTTGGATTAGGAATTAGGGATTAGGGATTAGGAGTTAGGACTTTAGAGATTAGGGATTAGGGATTAGAGATTACGGATTAGGGTTAGGGGTTAGGGGTTAGGGGTTCGGGATTTGGATTTATTGTTGTTTTGCTTCTTTTGCTCCTCCTCCTCATCATTCTTATCCTATTTTTTTTCTTTTATTGTTTCTGATATGTTTTGGATTTTCATTTTTATGTGCGTAACTAATCTAATGTGTATTGTGATTTCAGTTGTTGGTGGAATAGACGAGATAAGCTTGCAAGCGGAGTTTAGGAGCGAAAAGCTAAGTATATATCCATTTTTGCAAATTTGATTGCCTTTCTTTTATGTGTAAAATGTGTTTTACACATGACTATTTGTACATCTTCTTGTGTTTCTTATTTGTTATGATCATTTTTTCTATTATTTTTAATTTCATACACTCTCATTAACCCACTGTTTGTTGTTCATGTTTCGTTATTGTTTTCATCTTTTGCACCACCTATAATTGCATAGCATTTCTTTGATTATATGTGCTTTGTTTGCTTTTCTATTAGTTTGATTATGTTGTTTTCTTTTTTGGGTTGTTGGTTTATAGTTAGGGGTGGGGGACTAGAGCATAGGGAGTAGGATTTCGGATTAGAGATTAGGGATTAAGGATTAGGGATTAGGACTTTGGGGATTAGGGACTAGGAATTAGGGATTAGGGGTTAGGGGTTAGGGGTTCGGGATTTGGGTTTATTGTTGTTTTACTTCTTTTGCTCCTCCTCCTCATCATTTTTATCCTATTTTTTTCTTTTATTGTTTCTTATATGTTTTGGATTTTCATTTTTATGTGCGTAACTAATCTAATGTGTATTGTGATTTCAGTTGTTAGTGGAATGGACGAGATAAGCTTGCAAGCGGAGTTTAGAAGCGAAAAGATAAGTATATCCATTTATGCAAATTTGATTGCCTTTCTTTTACATGTGAAATGTGTTTTACACATGACTATTTGTACATCTTCTTGTGTTTCTTACTTGTTATGATCATTGTTTCTATTATTTTCAATTCCGGCCATTCTTATTAAACCACTTTTTGCTTTTCATTTTCGTTATTGTTTTAATGTTTTGCATTACCTATAATTGCATAACATTTCTTTGATTATATGTGTTTTGTTTGCTTTTCTATTAGATTATTTATGTTTTGTTTCCTTTATTTGGGTTGTTGGTTTATAGTTAGTGGTTGGGAATTAGGGGCTTAGTGAATAGGATTTGGGATTAGGGATTAGGGGTTAGGGATTCGGGATTTGGGATTATTGTTGTTTTGTTTTGCTCCTCCTCCTCATCATTCTTATCCTATTTTTTTTCTTTTATTGTTTCTGATATGTTTTGGATTTTCATTTTTATGTGCGTAACTAATCTAATGTGTATTGTGATTTCAGTTGTTGGTGGAATAGACGAGATAAGCTTGCAAGCGGAGTTTAGGAGCGAAAAGCTAAGTATATATCCATTTTTGCAAATTTGATTGCCTTTCTTTTATGTGTAAAATGTGTTTTACACATGACTATTTGTACATCTTCTTGTGTTTCTTATTTGTTATGATCATTTTTTCTATTATTTTTAATTTCAGACACTCTCATTAACCCACTGTTTGTTGTTCATGTTTCGTTATTGTTTTCATCTTTTGCACCACCTATAATTGCATAGCATTTCTTTGATTATCTATGCTTTGTTTGCTTTTCTATTAGTTTGATTATGTTGTTTTCTTTTTTTGGGTTGTTGGTTTATAGTTAGGGGTGGGGGACTAGAGCATAGGGAGTAGGATTTCGGATTAGAGATTAGGGATTAAGGATTAGGGATTAGGACTTTGGGGATTAGGGACTAGGAATTAGGGATTAGGGGTTAGGGGTTCGGGATTTGGGTTTATTGTTGTTTTACTTCTTTTGCTCCTCCTCCTCATCATTTTTATCCTATTTTTTTCTTTTATTGTTTCTTATATGTTTTGGATTTTCATTTTTATGTGCGTAACTAATTTAATGTGTATTGTGATTTCAGTTGTTAGTGGAATGGACGAGATAAGCTTTCAAGCGGAGTTTAGGAGCGAAAAGATAAGTATATCTATTGTTTTCATGTTTTGCACCACCTATAATTGCATAGCATTTCTTTGATTATATGTGCTTTATTTGTTTTTCTATTAGATAAATTATGTTTTATTTCATTTGTTTGGCTTGTCGGTTTATAGTTAGGGGTTGGAAATTAGGACTTCTGGAGTAAGAATTTGAAATTAGGGATATGGAATTAGGGATTTGGAATTAGGGATTTGGAATTAGGGATTAGAGATTAGGGATTAGGGATTAGGGGTTAAAGGTTAGGGATTTGGTTTGATTGTTTTTTTGCTCCGCCTCCTCATCATTCTTATCCTATTTTTTTCTTTTTCTTATGTTTTGGATTTTTATTTTTATATGCGTAACTAATCTAATGTGTACTTTGATTTCAGTTGTTAGTGGCATGGACGAGATAAGGTTGAAAGCGGAGTTGTGGTGCGAAAAGATAAGTCTATCTATTTGTGCAAATTTGATTGGCTATCTTTTACATGTGGAATTTGTTTTACACATGACTATTTTTGTATTTTCTTGTGTTTCTTACTTGTTATGTTCATTGTTTCTATTATTTTCAATTCCGGTCACTCTCATTAACCCACTCTTTACTTTTTATTTTTCGTTATTGTTTTCATGTTTTGCAGTACCTATAATTGCATATCATTTCTTTGATTATCTGTGGTTTGTTTTCTTTTCTATTAGATTAATTATGTTTTATTTCGTTTTTTCGAATTTTTGGTTTATAGTTAGGGGTTAGGGATTAGAGCTTATAGTGAGTAGAATTTGGGATTAGGGATTACAGATTGTGTATTAGGGATTAGAAATTAGGGATTATGGATTACGGATTAGGTGTTAGGGGTTAGGGATTTGGGTTTATTGTTGTTTTGCTTCTTTTGCTCCACCTCCTCATCATTCTTTTCCTATTTTTTCTTTTATTGCTTTTGTTATGTTTTGAATTTTCATTTTTATGTGCATAACTAATCTAATGTGTATTTTGATTTCAGTTGTAAGTGGAATGGACGAGATAAACTTGAAAGCGGAATTTAGGGGCGAAAAGATAAGTATATCTATTTGTGCAAATTTAATTGGCTTTCTTTTACATATGAAATGTGTTTTACACATGACTATTTCTACATCTTCTTGTGTTTCTTAGTTGTTATGATCATTGTTTCTATTATTTTCAATTCCCAACACTCTCATTATCTCACTATTTGCATTTCATTGTTCGTTATTGTTTTCATGTTTTACACAACCTATAATTGCAAAGGATTTCTTTGATTATATGTGCTTTGTTTGTTTTTTTATTAGATTAATTATGTTTTGTTTCCTTTTTTTAGCATGTCGGTTTATAGTTAGAGGTTGAGAATTAGGGCTTAGGGAGTAGGGGTTTGAGATTAGGGATTAGCGATTAGGGATTAGGAATTACGGATTAGGGGTTAGGAAATTGGGTTTATTGTTCTGTTGCTTCTTTTGCTCCACCTCCTTATCATTTTTCTCCTATTTTTTAATTTTATCGTTTTTGTTATGTTTTGAATTTTCATTTTTATGTGCGTAACTAATCTAATGTGTACTTTGATTACAGTTGTTAATGGAATGGACGAGATAAGGTTGAAAGCGGAGTTTAGGAGCGAAAAGATAAGTATAACTATTTGTACAAATTTGATTGGCTTTCTTTTACATATGAAATGTGTTTTACACATGACTATTTGTACATCTTCTTGTGTTTCTTAGTTGTTATGATCATTGTTTCTACTATTTTCAATTCCCAACACTCTCATTATCCCTCTGTTTGTTTTTCATTCTTCGTTATTGTTTTAATGTTTACACAACCTATAATTGCATAGCATTTGTTTGATTGTATGTGCTTTGGTTGCTTATCTATTAGATTAATTATGTTTTATTTCCTTTTTTTGGATTGTCGGTTTATAGTTCGGGTTGGGGATTAGGGCTATAGAGATTAGGGATTAGGGGTTAGGAATTTGGGTTTATTGTTCTTTTGTTTCTTTTGCCCCACCTCCCCATCATTCTTATCCTCTTTTTTGTTTTAGTGTTTTTGTTATGTTTTGGATTTTCATTTTTATGTGCTTAACTAATCTTGAGACTGTGTGGATGCTTCAATGGCCTTTCTCTTATCCATGCACTTATCAGAGGTGTCCCTATGCTCATTTTTTGGGCATTATGGAAAGGAAGGTGTAGGAGGAGGTTTGAGGGATTGAGATTAAATGCTTTGAAATGGCAATCTTATATGATCAAACCAAAGAAAGAGGAAGGTAGAGCTGGTACAGATATGTTGCAAGACCTTAGGATTTATCCCCCTTTTTCGGTCACCACTAAAGTGAAATGTATGAATTGGGAACCTCCTGCAATTAACAAGGTAAAATTAAACTTTGATGGGACTTCCAAGCAAAATGGCCTTTCTAGTGGTGGGATGATTTTAAGGGATTCTAAGGGGCATGTTTTGTTAGCCGCTGCTGCAGCTTATGGGATTGGCTCTAATATGAAAGCAGAATGTCTGGCCTTATTGGATGCTCTAAAAATGATTATGCATCATGGTTTGGGTACTTCTCAGCTTGTTTTGGAATCTGACTCTCAAGTATTGGTTAACGTGGCGCTGGGGGTGGTTGAGGTTCCATGGCGTTTATCTATTTATATGGAGCAAATTTTAGATATTCTTGAGAAGATGAATTACCATATTAGGCATGTGTAAAGGGAAGCAAATAGAGTTGCAGACTTCCTGGCTTCTTATGCAGTGCAGGCTGGTAGGTATTCTGATTTTTCTGATAATGGTACTCTGCCTAGTACTGGCAGATTACTTCTACAACAATACCAAGGAATGATAGCTTCTGCTAGACTAAACAAGGTTTTGATAAGTGAGCATAGGCAGGGGATTGGTTGACACTGGGCTTGGGGTCTTTGTGCACCTGCTGCTTGGTTTCTGGGCAGTGTTGTGTCTGGTTTGGCTCAGGCTCAGTTAGGGTGTTGAGGCCTTGGTGATGTGCTGCTGTATTTATGGCGTTGGAGCAGGGTTCCCTACTGATTTAGGTAAGGTCCCATCTGGGGCTATCTTCTGGCTGTTAATCCTGTTGTAGGATTAAAGCCAACTTATGTTGGTCTTCCTTTTCTTCATCACTCATCATCTCTTTATGTGAGGTGCTGGATGGTTGCTGATGTGATATTTTTACTTGGGCATGGTGCTGGGCTTTGATGCAGGGTCATTTTTCATTTTGCTGATTTTTCTCTCTGCTGTGGGTCTTGTGCTCTGTTCATGCGACTGTTCACGTGTATGGCGTTTCTCTGCTGCTATTGCTTTCTGTCCAGCTGGTCCTCTTCTGTTTGGATCCTGTTCAGCTGGTCTGCTGGGGAGTGATGGTGGCCTTTCTGGTCCATTGGCATTCATTGATGGTTGCTGCTGGATCAGTCCAGCTTTTCTCCTTGGTTGCTGTTTTTTGATGGCCACTCTCTCCCCAATACTATGTCTTTGAGGTTATTCACATGGTTTCAGCTGGATGCATTATTCAAGTGCCTCTCAGATGGTTCTCTCTCGGCTGCTTTTATGGCATACTGTCCCATACATCTTGAGCTGTTTTTCAGCTTTTTCTGCGCCTTCAGCTGGATTGCTCCCCAATTTGCTGCTGTTTGCCACTGTTCACGTGACTGTGCACGTGAACAGTCAGGTTGCTGTCCCAGGTTTTTTTGGTTCTCTGCGGGCTCTTTAAAGGTTCCTCAGCTGGTTTTCCTCGGGTCCCTTTCACTTTCGCCTCTCAGCTGGTCCTCTCATGCTGCTGGTTTGATGGTTCTCATTGCAGTCAGTTGGAGCCTTTATTCTCAGCTGGTCTTTACGGGACTCCACCTGTTCTCCCTGGTTCTTTTCAGCTGGTCTTCCTCCAGTTAGCTTACTATTTTTAGCTTTATGGTCTGGCTGCTTTGATGCCTGTTAGTCTTTCAATGTTAGGGGCAGTTTGGCTCTGTTCAGCTGGTCTCCAGCTGGATTCCCAGCTGGATTTAATGTTTTTCAGCTGGTCTTCAGCTGCTCATTTTGCTATTTTATTTTGAAGGTTTAAAGCCAACTTTGGCTTCCATGTTCTGTTTAATGCTCTGCTTTTTGCTTCTTGTAATCTTGGTTCTTATCTATAAAATTTTCTCTTTATTTAAAAAAAAAAGGGGGGGGGGGGGTTAGGGATTAGGTCTTAGGGAGTAGGGATTAGGGCTTAGGGTGTAGGGATTAGGTATTAGGGATTAAGGATTAGGGCTTTGGGAGTACGGATTAGGGGTTAGGGGTTAGGGATTTGGGTTTTTTGTTCTTTTGTTCCACCTTCTCATCACTCTTATCTAATTTTTTTCTTTTATTGTTGTTTGTTATCTTTGAATTTTCATTTTTATGTGCGTAACTAATCTAATTTGTGCTTTGATATCAGTTGTTAGTGGAATGGACGAGATAAGCTTGAAAGCGGAGTTTAGGAATGAAAAGATAAGTATATCTATTTGTCCAAATTCTATTGGCTTTCTTTTACATGTAAAATGTGCTTTACACTTGACTATTTCTACTTCTTCTTGTGTTTCTTACTTGTTATGATCTTTGTTTCTATTATTTTCAATCCCCCACACTCTCATTATTCCACTATTTACTTTTTATTTTTCGTTGTTGTTTTCGTGTTTTATACAACCTATAATTGAATAACATTTCTTTGATTACATGTGTTTTGTTTGCTTTTCTATTAGATTATTTATGTTTTATTTCTTTTGTTATTGTCTTTCTATTGAAATTGTTAAATGTTGGAAACAAAATTTAATTACTTGGAGAGGGAGCAAGTGGTTAAATCATATGGTGAAAAATTAGGAGTTTGTAGCGTGTTAAAAATACTAATAGAATATAGAATTTAAATAGGGTTTAGGGCTTTTGTGATGAGAAATATCTTCTTGTTCATGTTGGTTTTTTTCCTTTGCTTTTTGTGTTTTACCAGCAAACTGAAACAGTGAATATAGGAATATATGATCATTCAGTTCCCAAAGCCCATCCTGTGAAGGGTAATTTTTGCCTTGGCTTGATGAAAATTTTGAATATAGTGCTTAGTAACTGGTCAAGTGTCGTATCTTGTTTGTATTTAATGAAATTATATTGGTTTCTGTCTTCTGCTTGGTGTCTGTTGTTGGGTGTGCTATTACTTCCTTAACTCTTACCTTGCAGAGTAGGCGGCAAATGGCTACATGACACAACATTCATTTAGCGGCTCCATAGATAGTGCAAACATCACTGATGATGGTATGTATCAATAACTCTTGGTTGTTCAGTCTTGCATATGCCTGCATATCATTTTTTTCATGATGAGTGATTTAATCCAAGTTTTGGACAACAGCGTAAAAGCAAGCTAATCAACGATTTTCTATGACCCCTTACATAACACCCCGTCTCACTCCAATGGGAACTCCAAAAATAATTTCCACGAGTGTGTCCCCCAGAAGGTATTCGGCTGCTGGATCTCCTCAGAAAAGTTCTGCTACCACTTCTCCAAGAAAAAATCAATATGAAGGACGGGGTGCACTGTCTTCATGGTACCCGTCAAGCCAGCAGTCATCAGCCGCAAACTCTCCTCCACATGGACACCCAATGCCAGGTTTGGAAAGCCTATTGCAATTTCCAATTCGACTTCTGGCATTAACACTGTTCACGGGAGCAGTCCCATGAGCAGTCACGTGAGCAGTGCCCTTCAACCCAGAACCAACTGCATTCAATGGAGAAACTCTTAAAACAAACCTCAGAGAGCAGCTGAAAACAAAGGCCAGCTGAAAGCAGGCTGTTCACGTGAACAGTGTGCACTCCTGCCCATAGTAGCAAATGAAAAACCGGATACTCCCCACAACTGCAATAATAAGAGACCAAGAACCCCACATGAATCCATAATGCCCAGCAAGGCCACAGGGTCCCATCTGAGGTAGGCCAAGCAATGAGGATCCCAGCTAGAAAATACCCCAGCAGACAAAAAAGCATGATCATAATAAAAAAATAGCAAATTTTTTCCTAGGCGTTTTAATGCCTTGTTGATCCTGCCTCTGAATAAATTTAGCTTGAAGAGGGATTTTCAAATCTTGTGTGTGGTCCGTTGAAGCACTTTCCAGAACAACGAGATTAGCTAAACAATCAGCCAAAGAATTCGCTTCCCTGTACACGTGAGCCAGACAGAAATTCATGCCCTCCAACAATCCCATAATTTCATCACAGATCCCCCAAAACTTCGAGGCCCTCATGTGTCCTTTCATTATCATTTGGACCATAACCGCCGAGTCAGTTTCAATATGGAGGCCATAGTCTAACAGACCATAACTTCTAAACAACAATAGGTCATCCTTCAGGGCACATAGCTCAGCCTCCATGTTGGAACAAACCCCATAGAAAAATGATGCAGCCAAAACTAAGTGCCCCCATTCATTCCTTACCACAGCGCCACCCCCAGCTCTACCAGGATTGCACTTTGATGCCCCTTCAACATTAAGCTTTAACTGACCAGGGGGAGGAGGAGACCAGTTAATCCAAATCACCTTCGGTTTCAACTCATACCTTACCTCAACCTTTATAGCCTGCAAAAACTCCGTGCCCATAATGCCCTCTGCCGCTTTGGGTCTAATACCATGAGCCTGCAGTCTAAGAGCTGAACAAACCTCCAAGAACAGAGCATGGGCATTTAAAGAGATATCTTCATAAATTCTTTTACATCTCTCCCTCCACAATTTCCAAAATATCAACAAAGGAGCACCACCAAGTAGGCTGTGATACACAGACTGCTTTTTAAAAATCCTTGTCAACCTCATCATTCGCACCATAGGAGTTTCAGATGTAAAAATTTGGAAACCACCACATACAGCTAGTTTTCTCCACACTTCGTTTGCAAATGGGCATTGAATAAAGAGATGGTTAACCGATTCCACATCCTGATAACAGAGGGAACACCTACTAGCCAATTCCACTCCAATCTTTTGGAAGTTCGAATCCAAAACCACTGCATGGTGGTGAATTTTCCAACCCAGCAGCATAGCGCTAGGAAAAACAGATTGTTTCCAAATCATGGAGTCCACAGCGTCAGGGTACTTCGACTCCCTTATCGATTGCCAAGCAGATTTGACAGTGAACTTGCCACAATCAGATAAGTTCCAAACCAAGCGGTCGTCTCTATTACATAAAGTGAGGCCAGTGTTTTGAATCTCCTGTTTGAGCGGATCAGGCAAGTCAAAGCCCAATTTATGCCACTGCCATGCCCCACCAACCCAAATATCAGTTAGACTTGGGAAAGACAAAGGAAGCCCCTCTATTCTGTTTAACAAGGGGCCAGTACCAACCCAGTTAGTGCACCAAAAATTCACTGACCTACCATTACCAACCAGCACCTAGGAGTTACACACAACAGAAAAGAAGAAAGGCTGAAGCATACGAAAAATTCATGCTTTCCCCGTGCTAGGACATCTCAGCATGTGCTTTCCCCTTAGGAACTTTGCCCTAAACATGTTCTCCCACAGGGAATCGCCCTTTAAAATTCCCCACACCTGCTTCCATCTAAAAGCCATTTGGAGATCCTCAAGTTTCCTAATTCCAAGTCCCCCCTCATCCTTCGGTCTTGAGATATCAGCCCAAGAGACCCATTGCCTTTTCTTCTCTCCCATCTTACCAGACCACAAAAAGAGGCGATCAAGGACCTCAGCTTGAAGAGAATACCTTCGGGGAGGTTGAGACAAGGGAGCAAGTGCACAGGGATGGCATTTAAAACCGACTTAATCAGCACAATTCTTCCCATACTAGAAAGGAGACCAGCATACCATCCTTCCATTTTGGCCTTGAATTTTAAAACCACATCCTCAAAGTCACGCAAACGATACCTTCCTTTTATCATTGGGCAACCCAAATAGACTAAGGGACACTTTTTAATAGGGATTTGTGCTATCCTAGACAATGCCCTTTGCCTGCCCAGAGGGATCTTAGAGGAGCAAAAAAGAGTGCTCTTTTCCTTGCTTATTTTCTGTCCAGACCCGCCCTCATATCTAGCCAAGAAAATCATCAAATGCTCCATGGATAACTTGTTACCTCTAAGGAATAACAGAGTGTCGTCGGCAAAGAGCAAGTGAGAAACCAACAGGCCACCCCTACCTGCGTGAAAGCCTTTAACCCTACCTTCCCCATATAATTGGGCCAGTCCCCTGCTTAAGACTTCCTCCGCCAAGATAAAGAGAGCAAGGGCTATCGGGTCGCCTTGTCTCAACCCTCTAGAAGATGGAAAATAGCCAAAGCATTTCCCATTGAGGCAAATAGAAAAAAATTGGTTCTGCAGGCAGTTGCCAATGATAGAGACAAATGAGCTTGAGAAACCAAAACACTCGAGAGTTCTTTTTAGAAAATTCCACTCCATGCGGTCATACGCCTTCATCATGTCCAATTTAACAATCACGTTACCGGCTTCAACTTTCCTGTCAAGCTCTCCAACCATCAGCTGGGCCAGTGAAATACAGTCACCAATCCCTCTCCCTTCAACAAAACCATGCTGTGCATTTGAGATCAAAGAGGGGAGGAGGGCCGCGAGTCTGTTTGAAAGAATCTTAGTAAAAACTTTGTACAGGAAGTTGCAGAGACTTATAGGCCTAAATTCTGAAAACGAACTAGGCTTGGTCACTTTCGGAATTAAGACAAGGAGAGTAGAGTTAACAGACCTAGGAACCACTACTCCACCCAAGAAAAAATTGACAGCTTCTAATAAGTCACTTTTAATGATGTCCCATGCCACTTGGAAGAATTTTCCAGAAAAGCCATCTGCGCCAGGGGCACTCTCCATAGACATGGAGAATACAACCTGTCTCAGCTCTTAAACCCTAAACCCTAAACCTTTTTTTTTTTTTTTTTTTGAACAGAAAAATATATTGAATGAACAAAAATTACAAGAAGCAAAGAAGCCAGGCTATGACAAAAAAGAGAAGCCAGGCAGGACAAAAAATAGTGGAAAAGAAGGCAGGCAAAGTCCAGCTGAGGGTCCAGCTAAACCTAGACAAAGGCAGCTGGAAAGTCAGCTGGAAACCAGCTAAAAAGGGAATCACACCAGCTGCAATAAAGCTGGAACCCAGAAGAGCAAAGGAGCTCCAGTCCAGGACAGGCAGCATCAAAGAACAGGGGCAGCAAAACAGCAGGCAGCAGAAGCAAAACCAGCTGGGCACAGACAGACACACCCCCAGCACAGCACATAGACAGATCAACAGGAACCAGGCCAGTAGAAGGCAGCAACCACAAAGAGGCAACATACCAACCCATGCCATTGAACACAGGGGAGGAGTCAGGACAAACAGGAACAGCCCAGGCAGACCAGAAACACACAGGTGCCCAACCAAAAACAGCAATGGACAACAATGAGACACCTCATAAAACCAAAACAAGGTCCAGGAAAAACCCAGATCAACAAAACCCAATACCCCAGACATCCAGTGCACCAACCTGACCATCAGACCTGCCTAGAACATCAGGCATTAAGTGCATACAAGAACATCCTTCTTAACCAACCCCTTGCCTATGCTCACAAATAGTTACCTTTTTCAATCTAATATTAGGTATCATGCTTTGATCCTGTTTAAGAAGTAATCTGCCAGCAGTAGGCAGCACCCCATTGGCAGAAAAATCAGAATAAATACCAGACTGCACTGCATAGTTAGCCAGAAAATCCGCAATCCTATTTGCCTCTCTATACACATGCCTAATCTGGAAATGCATTTGCCCAAGCATATCTAAAATTTGTTTCATGTAACCTGAAAGTCTCCATGGAGTGACAGCAACCCCCATTATCATATTGACTAACACTTGAGAGTCAAATTCCAAAACAATATGGTAATCATTCAAACCATTGTGCATTATCATTTTCAAGCCATCCAGCATTGCCAGGCATTCAGCTCTCATACTAGTACCAGTCCCATAAAATGCAGCAGCTGCTAAGACAATATGCCCCTTGGAGTCTCTCAAATCCATCCCTCCCCCAGATAACCCATTACCTTTTGAAGCTCCATCAACATTTAATTTCATCATAGTCATAGCTGGAGGTTCCCATGTAATCCATTTCACCTTAGTGATGATAGAAAAGGGTGGTGCAATCCGGAGGTCCTGCAGCATGTCTTTACCATATCTACCTTCCTCTTTCTTAGGCTTAATCATAAAGGCCTGCCATTTCAGTGCATTGACCACCTGGATGAAGACTGCATGGCTGTTTAAATTCAAACCCTCAAATTTTCTCCTACATCTTTCTTTCCATAATGCCCAGAAAATGAGCATAGAAACACCTCTGACAAGAGCATGGCTAAGTGAGAGTCCTTTAAAACACCTACACATTCTCAAAAATCTGCAAATAGGAGGTTCACCAGGTATAAGATCAAAACCCATAACAGCAGCAAATTTCCTCCAAACAGCATGAGCAAAGGGGCAGAGAACAAAAATGTGAATATCAGTCTCCTCATCCATCCCACATAGACTGCATTTGCTAATTAAATACACCCCAATACTTCTTACTCTCTCATCAGTTGTCAAAGCCTTGTTATAAATTTTCCAAGTACAAAGCTGGGCACTAGGGGGCACTTTCTGATTCCAAATCTTTTGTGCAATGACATTGTGTACCCTGGTCCTCCTAATCTGATTCCATGCAGATTTGGTAGTGAAGTTCCCAGAATTAGTACACTCCCACACTCTTTTATCAGCTTTCTCTGGCACCAAAGCACCAGAACTTCTAATCTCCTCTTGCAAATGAGGTGTCAGCCATTCCTCAATGCTTTCAAAATGCCAGCCACCATCATACCATAAATCTTTGACCTTGGGAAAGAAAGAGGGAGGACCTTCAATTTTGTACAGCAAAGGTCCATTCTCCATCCATGAATCACACCAGAAGTCAGTACACTGACCATTCCCCAGCAAAACCTTAGAGTTTGTCACCACAAAATCAAACCATGGTTTCAAAATGTTGAAACTCATACCTGTACCACTGTTACTGCATCTCAGCAAATGCCTTCCCTTAAGATATTTTTCTTTAAAGACCTTTGCCCATAGTGACTACCCATTAAGGATACCCCAAACCTGCTTAACTCTAAATGCATCTTGAATTTCCCCAAAACATCTAATACCTAAACCACCTTCACATTTAGGCTTAGAGATATTATCTAAAGATACCCAATGTCTTCTTCTAGCATCAAGCTTACTAGACCAGATAAAACCAGCTATAAAGGAATTCAGCTCCTTTAAAATTCCTTTTGGGACGTTCAAACAAGCCAGCATATGGATTGGAATAGCACTTAAGACAAATTGCACAAGAATAATCCTTCCCATTCCAGAGAGCATCGTGGCATACCAACCTTCAATTCTACATCTGAAAGTCTTCAAAATCTCCTCAAAGTAGCTAAGTTTCACTCTTCCTCTGATAATGGGGCATCCCAAATAAGAGAAGGGACAACTTATAGGAATCCCCATTAAAGATGATAAGACATACCTCCTTGCCCCTGAGATTCTTTTAGAGCAATACATGGCAGTTTTAGATTTATTCACTTTTTGACCAGAACAAGATTCATACATACCAATGAACTTCAAAGTATTGCGCACAGATTTTTTAGTACCCCTCATAAAGAGCAAAGTGTCATCAGCAAAGGGAAGGTGACTAACCACAGTGGTGCCTCTACCAATATGATAATGGGAAACTAACTTTTGTTGATAAACCCACCTTAACCCTCTGCTAAGAACCTCCTGTGCCAGAATGAATAAAGAAGGAGAAAGGGGGTCTCCTTGTCTTAGACCTCTTGAGTTGGAGAAGTAGCCATATCTTTGCCCATTTAAACAGATAGAAAAGTGCTGAGTCTTCAAGCAATTGAGAATAATCTGAGTAAACATATTGGAGAAACCAAAGTGCTTCAACACTTGCAATAAAAAGTCCCACTCAAGCCTATCATAGGCTTTCATCATATCCAATTTCATAACCAAGTTGCCCCCCTCCACTTTCCTGTCCAAGTCACCTACCAATAATTGCCCCAGTGCCCACACAGTCCCCTATCCCTCTTCCTTGAACAAAACCATGCTGTTCCTCAGAGATTAGGGAAGGTAGCATAGAAGAAAGCCTTGTAGTGAGAAGCTTAGTGAAAATCTTATAAAGGAAATTACACAGACTAATAGGTCTAAAATCACAGAAAGAAACAGGTGCATCCTTCTTTGGGATTAAAACCAACAAAGTAGAGTTGACAGGTTTAGGCATATCTCCGCCTTTCAAGAGAAAATTCACGGCTAACCATACATCACTCTTAATAGTTTCCCAAGCAAATTGAAAGAATTTACCTGAGAGGCCGTCAGGACTAGGAGCACTCTCAATGGCCATAGAGAAAACTACATCTTTTATTTCTTCCATAGAAGCCTCAGTAATCAATTTCTGATTATCCTCATGACTCACCAGATTGGGAATCACATCAAAAATCAGAGAAGAATTCCTCAGCAACCTCAGCAATATTCTGATCACCTTGAACCCAAGTACCCTCCTTATTCTGAATTCTAGAAACTTTGTTCCTCGTCTTCTTACTTTTAGATAAGGCATGATAAAACTTGGTATTTCTTTCCCCTTCTAAGGCCCATTTGAGATTGGATTTTTGCTTCCAATAAATTTCCTCCCTCCTGAGCCAATTATCCCGATCACTTTTAAATCTGTCAAGCTCTAAGGATTTAGCAGCACTGTAATTCTGATCCAATTCCATTTCAACAGTCTTGATTTTCTGTTCTTGGGCTTCAATGTTATCAAATAGATCTCCAAAGACTTCCTTATTCCACAACTTAATATGGGCTTTTAAGTATTTCAACTTGATAAACAAATTTGCCATAGGATTGTCAGAGTAAAAACCACCCCATTTCTCCTTAATAAGAGCTCTAAAACCCTCATGATCACACCACATATCTTGGAATCTAAAGTATGAGACTCTTCTTTGATTTGGACTGTCTTTGATGTTGAGAAACAAAGGGCTATGATCAGATGCACCTCTGGCCCAATGAACAACCTCCATGCTGTCAAACCTCATATTCCAGCTCACATTAACCAAAGCTCTATCAATTCTTTGCATCATTCTAACGTGGCCCTGCCTGTTGTCAAACCATGTGTATTTGTTCCCACTAAAACCAGCATCCATCAGGCCTCTCTGGTCTATGAAGTTCCCAAAATCCTCCATAGATGCCATAGAAGGAGGAGCGCCTCCTTTTCTTTCCTCTGAGCATAAAATAGAATTGAAATCCCCAACCACTAACCAAGGAGTGTTGGCAGGGATATTAATCTCCAGTAAGTGTTCCCAAAGTGCTCTTTTGATAGTTTGATTACAACTAGCATACACCACAAAACCCAGAATACAGCATTCTTCATAAAAGTTATCTCCACAGTCAAAACCTGTTCATGAGCAAACAACACCCTTACATTTATTCTATCATCCCACAGTAGCCAAATATTCCTCTTTGCTAGAGGGTTGAATGAGAAATGGTTCAACCCTATACTGCTACCAAAGAGATTGAGCTTAGTAACCAACAGCTTAGGTTCTTGTATAGCCACGAAACAAATATCATGAATTCTAATAAGTTTCTTTAGCCTCCTCCTTTTGGCAGCTTTTTCTGCTCCCCTCATATTCCACGAAAAAATATTTATCATGAGGATATAGAATGGTACCCCCCACTGGAATTTACTCCATTGGATTCATCTTCTATGTTGAAGAGCTATCAATAGCTTCGGAGTCTTCTGATGTGATTTTCTGGCTCTTAGAGCTCGCCTGATTTGAAAAGTACCCTTTATCTGGTGGAGCTCTCTCACTAATCAATCCCATCTGATCATCAAATATACCTCCACATTCTCCCCTTGTACAATAATCATGTTCCAGTAAGAAGGAAGAGTTTAAAGAGGGGGCATAGAGAGCATAACACTCTCCTAGATGTTCTTTAGGAGCCTCATTCCCCTCCAAATCATTCGTATCTTCACTAGAAATAAAAACCCCACCAATCTTCTCGAAATTAGCATCCTCCACTCCAATATTATTATCAACTGCATTAACAATAGCAACAGGAGAGGAAAGAAAGCATTCCTCCAAACTATTCCCCTCATCACTAGGGGTTGACAAGTGTTTCTGAGCCACTCTCCATATCATCCTTTTCTTTATTTGATCCAGTAGTATCTGGTATAGATTCTGTCCCCTGAGCCTCTTTAGAATTCCCAACCTCATCATTCTACCCTTCCAAATCATGATGATCACCTCTATCAAGTGCTGGTGTATAGCAGTCTGTCTCCTGATTTTCTCCTCTGTCATTCACCTTTTGCTTGTTCAAATTGGTAGAGGTTTTTGCAACTTCCTGTTCCTTCTGGGTATGTTCTTCCCTCTCAATATTATGATTCACCTCTACAGGATCTGTGGTTTCATTCAAGATATCAAATCTATTTCCAATCACTGGGCCTTAAATCCCTGTTTTTTGTCTGTATTCCTTTCTAGGCTTTTCCTTCTGTACATCAACAGCAATTGCTTTCCCTTTCCTGTTCTTCCATCCATTTCCAAGGGGCAAGGCCATTATATTGATCAGGCTTCTGTTCAGAAGTAACCACCACCTCTTCCTTCTTCTTTTTACGGCATAAAGAATCATCGTGACCCTGCTTGAGGCAAGCAGGGCAATATTTGAATTCCTTCTCATATACTATCTTCTGCCACCTAGCACTCATACCTCCCATATCAAGCCAGAAACGTTTGGGATTGCTAACCAGAAGATTCATCTCCACACAGGCCCTAGCTACCCCAGGCCTAGAAAGATTCAAAGTGGCATTGTCAATAACCAAGATTCTACCAATGGGGCTTAATATGTCTCTTAAGCTCTCTCTGTTAAAAAGATGGATAGGTAGGCCAGGTAGAGAGATCCAAACAGGAACCAATGGGGGTTCAATTCTGGGAACCATTTGAAAAATCTAAATAGAAAGCCTTCAATGTAGGTGGTGTCCTTTAGCCAAACTTTAACATAATCTTCGTAGAGAGAAAACCGAATGAGTATATGCCTGGGATCCAAAACTCCTACGGTAAAATCCCCTTTTAATAGCCACCTTGAATTTATGAATTCCTTCACCACTCCCAGTGAAGGCTTACCATAGACACACTTGCCTATCAGGGAGAGAGAAAAACCTTTAGAAAGCTCCTGAGTTTTGTCTGGTGACTAGTACATGCCTGGTTCCCCTTTGTTGAAGACCACTCTTTTAGCAGGCTTTGAGGCATTCGCAGACATAAAGGAACCAAAGGTGATGCTGGTAGGGGAACTCTGGGCTCCTTGGTCATTCTGGGCATTCAATACAGGAACTGGAGGATGGTTTCCTTGTTCAGCCAAAGGAAAATGTGATTGTAGCAGAATACGGTCAGCCGAAGGGTCTTTAGGAGACGACTAGATATGGAGGTTCAACGATGATCGGGGATTCGCATTGACCCCATGAGTGATCTGAATATTTGTAAGGGCATTAGGAGTGTGGATCCCTAACTCAGGCGAAGGGATGTGGTTGTTCGGAGGAAAGGATGATGCTGGTGGGAGCTGAGCAGTCAGTTGGTGATGACGAACTTGAGGGAAGGGAGGCATAGGGTTGGTGTTATTGTAACGCAAAGGATCCATAAAGAAAACAGATTCGCCGATGCAGCTGGACTATTTTGGAGAATGTCGTCGTTCGACGGTTTTGTGAATAGTGACGCGAAGTTCTTGGTAATGTCTGGTGGTTTGGGTGGGAGATTCAAAGAATTCTTTGTGGATGTGGTGGGAATACAAGGAAAATCAGGAGGCTTTGGTGGAATTTGGTTCAAAAGATGGGTTGAATCCATAATAAATGCACAGATCTACCGAAAAAAAAAGCCAAAGCAAAGAGTAAAGGTAGTGAGAAGTGAGAGCTTCTCTCACTAGAAATAAAAATTGCCTCCTAAACCCTTAAACCCGAAACCCTAAACCCTAAACCCTTGAGTTAGAGGAATAGTATATCTAATTGGTTGCAATTGTATAGCAAGTAACATAAAGAAGAAAGTTGGTCCCTTCTACAAGATTCCTCCTGAACTAGATTCCAGTACGAATTCAAAAGCAAGTATTCAAATTTATGTGTTTCTTTAGAACACAATCCATGATAAGCTTCCCAAAAAGAACAGTTGCCGTATAACAAATGATATACCAGAACTACAATTAAAAGGAGTTATACTAAACTGTTAATCTTACTGAGAGTAATGTTAACTTTGTTAATTGATATGGTCCAATAGTATTTACTTTTGTAAGCATTGCAACTGTTTTATTAGGGTCATGTTTGTAGACACACACATTCACATACACAACACCATACTCACAGCGCACACAGTCGAACACACAACACACACTCACATTTGGGTATTTTGATTATTTTTTGTGTTTTCATAATTTGGGTTTTTTTTTTTGCATAATGTGAATGTTTTCGATAATTTGAGCAAAAAAAGGGTGATTTGGAAATTTGGGTGTTTGATACTCTAACTGTGAATCTGATACAGTGATTTGTCTTCTTTATCTGATTAATATAACATGGTGTTTGCCCTCTCTATGTTTTTTGCTCTGATTGTGCTTTGTTGTGTTCCATGAATTTTCAAATTTCATTTAAATTGATCATTCAATTTTATTGGATGTTTAAAAACTTCATTTCTATAACTGTCTGTTTGTTCTCATTATTCTTATCGCATATTGTAGTGGAGTTTATTAGATCAAATCAACTAACATTGACCAATATGTAGACATTAAGGCTTTATAAAAAGTTCACCGTTATTCTTCAAGTTATCCCTTTTTTGTTATTTTTTTTTCTGCTGTGTGAATTGGATGCAACTTTAATGGTAGATACTGCTTGCTTTGTTTAATTGTATAATGTCTTCTTATATGTACATGTTGAGGTTAGTGTTGGTTGTTATTGTGCTGGAACTAAAGCTTTGAGACATTTCTATGGGGGAATCACTCTAAGACTCGCAAGAATGGAGACATTAGGATTGTATATTTTTAACCTAAGCAATTTTTTTTTGCTGGTAAAGGATGGTGAGTTCATTATCCAACATTCGTACTCATCTCTCTGATCTCATCTCCCTTTTCTCTCTCATCTCCATGATTTTCTGCTTTTCTTTGTTATTTCTTTTCTCTACAACACAACACACCTCTTCCTCCACACCCACACAAATAGTACGCACACACACACACACACACACAACACACAACCCGACTCACATAAAGCACACAACACAGCATACCCACACCATTCCCTTATTTTCTCTCCATTGCACCCCATTCTCTTCTTGCATCCACATGACGCCGCCATCGACCTCTCTCTCTCACCCTAAAATCCCCTCCCTCAACTAGCGACCCACACCGAAATGAACGGCCACGCCCCCACACCACCAATGACGCCACATGTGACCAATGATAGCAATTCCAATTTATTGTAAGCTTCAAAAGTTGAGTTTTTTTTTTTAGTTTTAAAGTCGTTGAGGTTTTTGTGTTGAATTATTGTTTCCTTTCAGTTTCTTGACTTTGATAATAAATGAGAATGTTAATCCATGTAGGTGATCGAAGAATTGATCAATGACGTTTACTGAAGGTTGCTTTGCTACATCTTAGGCTACCCATCGCTCTCTGACTTATGTATAATACACATACTGCATCTCATTTAGTTTTTAGTTCTTCCATTTACAATGCCTTTATATTCCTTTTTATATATGCATTTGCTTCTGAATGTTGGATTTTCAGTTTGTTTGTGAGATGTTTTTCTATTAGACTTGAGGTTGTTGATATGATAGTTCTTATTCGTTTAGATGAATGTGTTTCTAATGATGCATTTTTAGGGCCGATGGAGTGAGTTGTTTACAACCATTGTCTGCTCTGTTATTGGTAGATACAACCTATAGTCCAATGAGGATTGAGGATGATGCATTGCCGCTGCACTTAGTTCAATTTTCTTGCCAGTTGGGATTTTTAAGTGAATAAAATTATCTATTGGTGTATTTTTTGGTGAATTGAATGCTCTGTAACATTACCATGAAGGGCTTTCTAAGGTTGGTTTTCCTTACTACTTTGTTGTTTAAAGCTTTCAACAAATTTAGTTATGTATCGAAGTTATGGAAGGTTTTGTATCCATTTCAAGATGGCAGGTTTGATAGAAAATTGATTAGCCAATATGTTTTCTTTTATTTTTTATTGTTTGTACACAATTTTTATTTTTTCTTTTGCAATTTTTCTAATGTTTTTTAATTTAATTGGTTTCTCTTTCTGTGTGAAAAAAAAAAGTTTCTCAAACCCCTATAATGAAATCCGGAAGTTGTGGTATATCTTTAATTCTTTATTTTTTCTTTTGACGGTAATTGAGCATTAATTTATTGAAACCCAACTTTATTTACCTTTTTAACCCACAAAGGTTTAATAATTTTTTTAAATGTACGAATGCACACATCTACTAATTTTTTTAGGAGATTTTTGTTTATGATCTATTTTTAATGGGTTGGACTTGATAGGAAATATGATGCGATTTAAATTTAAATTTATGCTAATATTCTTTGGAGTTTGATTTGGGTGTATTAGTCTGTATTTGGATTTGAAATTATGCAATTTTTTTTGGGGCCTGGGGGATGGAAGGGGGATTATGAAAATAGGTTAAGGGACATGTTGTGCATACCATTCATTACTTCAAGTTTAGGCCTTGGTTTTGCTGAGGAAACCATGAGCCACCAGTTTTGTTCTCCTTGCTTACATGAGAGCAGTTGACTTTATGTTACCTGTTTGGTTTTGGTTTTGATTTGTTTTTTAGTGTCTCTGCATGATTGTTTGGACGGGTTGATATTGAAATGAGAATGAATTTTGAAGATAGAATTGAATCGTGATTGTGAACTATAATGATCGTTATGTATGATTGTGAGCTGTGAATTTTTTGGATCTTTGGTTGGACCTGCCTGTACAACATGTGTCTGTGGCCTTTGTTATTATGAACTGTTATTTTGGTTTGGATTGTGCAGTGACTAAAATATAATGTTGTCTTTGAGTTAGTTAGATTAATTTATTCTTTGAAATTGGTTATGTAATGGTTTGTGCTGGACAATAATACGTACAATGAGATATATAAGTTCTGTACACAGGTTGAGATTTTTAGGCTCCTATCTGTAGAAGAAATTTTGCTGAAATATTTTGAAAAAATAACGAGATAGATTGATTTTAATTTCTTCAATTAAAGTAAATAAATGAAAATTTATTTTTAATGGATGGATTTTTTTAAGTTGCAAAGTGCCTTTAGGCACGGCTTATTATTAGTTTTATATATAAACGAGCTTAATTTTGCTAATTTGAGTAGAATCCTATCCGAGCCATCTTGTCTCACTTTGTTTTTTTTTTTTCCTTGCAAAGCAACGCAGTGCAAGCTATAAATAGTCAAATGGCTTAAAATGGGCAGTAACCAACAAAGTCTACAAGTCAAGCTTTTCTTTTTCAGCAATGGCTTCCATTCCTCAATACTTCTCCAATGAGTTCTATGCTTTCCCTAATCCAATGCCCGGCGGAAACAACAGGGGAGGTATTGCAATGTGGAGTGGAGAATGCTTACTGCCCTTTTCCGATAATGGGATACTTAATGTGGTGCCACCAAAACCTCATGACATCGTTCCATCCATTTCAATGTCATCGTTCCCTGAGCGTCTCGGAATTTCTGATATGGTTGTACCGTCATTGACGGAGCGTAATGTCAATATGGGTTCATATGGCATCACGGGACCTCATGGTTTTGAGTGTAGATACCAACACGAGGTATGTGATCAACTGTTGTTTCTTTTTCAGTGAGGTTACATGTTCATGGCACTGTGTGTTTCCTTTCATCGTAGTCAAGACAAATACTAAGACATGCATGATACAGATTTACATTAGTGCAATGCTACATAGGCTTAAAATATTAATTTAATTTGTTGACTTAATGGACTGTAGAAAAAAAAAAAAAAAAATCTTTCAAATAACTGAATTGCATTCAAAGAGAAATGTAAAAGTCAAATTCAAATTGAAGTTTTTAAATTGTAATGAAATTTAACTGTTGAAGACCTAATTAATTTTGTTATCAAAACTGGACGAGTTTCAACGATTATGGTTCGATTATTCTTTTCAATTTGATGGTTGTCTTAATTGTGAAGAAATCTTGACTCCATCCCTGGAATGCAAATGGGCCTAGGGAGCATTAGCATTTTTAAATTCTTAGATTGAATAAATATGTCCGGCTATAAACTGTAAACCCCAACACTCTTTATCTTTATATAGCAAGTAATTATTTTGAAATGCTAATATAGGGGATGAGGTATGCATGAACCCTATAGATTTCAATAGTATGAATAAATACTAGGGACGCAAATTAATGGTGAAATTTAATTTTTGGAGGTGTTTAAGGTTGAAAAGGATAACTAAGTAAAAATATAAATTTTTTTAGGTCAAAATAATATTATCATTGAATCTGGGAGATCCAAAAAACTTGGAATAGCCTTTTAGCACATATAGCGGTTCAGAGGAATAAAATAGTAATTTTCGTGTTTCGAGTGTAAATTTATTTTAGTTTTGAAAATTGTGGTGGGAATAATTATTCTTTGGAATGGTTATTTATGGTGGGATTGGCTTTACTCTTGCACTTAATTATTGTTAATGTATAAATTTGAGACTTTTGAAAATGTCATGTTTTCTTTCAAAATTTACGTATGCTATTTGTGAAATGAAACCGACCATTTTCTACGTTTTTCAAACCTTGTTAGAGTGTGAGGATTTTTCTACAGTGCTTAGTGCTCACCCCCTACTAATAATTTTTTTTTTTTTAGATTTCATGCTAGAGGAAGATCTCGGCGTTGATGAGGCGGAAAATTGGGAGGTTCCATCTGAGGGGAACCTAGATCCCGAGGTGCACATCTAGAGATATTGTTTATTTTTGTGCTAGACTAGGAAATTTATTTACAATCATGTATAGTCTAGTATTTTGTTTATTCTGCTTCTAAGTTTGAATGTAATTCTTTTGGAATGTAAATGTCATAATTTGGCCTATTCTTTTGGGATGATATGGTGGATATTACATGTGATGAATGAAATTTTATTATTTGATGGGTAAATGGACCCAGTGTGGTCAATATTTATTCATATATGGACCCGGTGCGGTCAATGTAGTATAATTGCACATGTTTGTTTTTGGTAGAGTTTTCCGTACAAAGGAGATTCTGCCCGAATTTTGTTACATTAAGGACCCCCGATTTTTGGGGTGTTACATAAACAAATCCTGTAGGATGAAAAATGATGAAACAGTTAGTCTTTATGAAAGAAGTTTATCAGTGGAAGGCAATTGGCTTAGGGATATGCATAACAGAAGAGAGATTTTTGCAATATAAAAGAAAAGATCAAATATGTTAAGTATTTGTTTTTTTTCTCCCTTCTTCTTGGCATCCCATAATGCATAGCGGGGGTCTGGAGAAGTAAGTGGTTAATATATTAAACCAATACCAAATTTTTATCCTTTGATACGTGGATCGACAAAAGAGAATAGATTTATTATAGGAATTTTAAATTAGTTATGGTTTCCAATGTACGACAAGCGCCACCATTGAAGGATCAGTGAAGAAAAAATCAGGTAACAGTAACACAAACACATCATAATTTGGTTTGTTATGCAGCTATGAGTTTTGACTTAGATCCATGCCAAGTACTCCATCTAAGTTTCAAAATAACGATCTCATACCTAAAAAGGAAGTTCAAGTCGAGCATGCATCAGTGATGGCATATGAAGCACATATACATAATACAGGCATGAGCAGATATGAACTGATCTTCATTCAATTTAACCTATTTATAGTGCAATAGATGATATAATATGTACTAAACAATCTAAATTAATAACAACATTAACTCCATAATTTAGGCTTGTCACTTGACAGGTCATCCAAAATACCAAATAAATACCAATCCATCTAAATTGGTCTCTTGCTTTGACTTCCTAAATATGCCCGATCTTAAAGAAGTTTGTAGCGACATGTTTTAAGAGTGGCTTGTGCAATAAAATATTGACTAGTTCATCCATTTAGAGGTAAAGATCATCGACGCCATACAACGCAAGCAAGTTCTGGTGTACTTGCCCTTGAATGCCCACTTGCATTGTAACAATGGGGTCTAAAATTACCCCACGAATTGGGCACCCCATAAGGTATGCCGCAAAGATATATAAGAGAATATCAATAGGACACAGGTCAGAATAAGGGTTATATGCCCTTGAGCTGAGTTGCAAGTGTATAATCGATGCTTGACAAAATGGATGTTTCTAAATTTCTTCTGTAAACGAAAGAAACAGTGAGAAAGTGCAAACTGTCCAGATCTCCTGTTTGAAAACCCGAGAGTGGTCCCTAACTTGTGATCATAGAATATCAATTTGTAGACCTATTATTACAATATTATTCATGGGTATAGAAATTAAAGATCTAATTTTGCCAATTTATAATTCTATTGGTAAAGAAAGTTGCAGATATTTAAAGAAACAGTGCTCACCAATAAGATGGCATGCTTCATGCACAAGAATTTGATGTTTATATGGAGGCCAGTAACTTGAGATTTGAGCCAAACATGATCCACCAAGGAATATTGAGTCTATCATGGCTAATCCCAATGTGGCTGCTAGGTTTTGCCTGATATCTATTCCTTGATTAAGCAAAAATGTAAAACTCGGGAAAAATTTAAAAAAAAAAAAATTTGAAAAAAGAGCAAAATGGTAATTTGTCATTATAATGCGGGTTTAAAATCTATATTTTTCTAGAGCTCAGATGATCCAACAAAGCTCAACGTTGGATTTGTATCGCAAAATCGAGCTATCTTGTTAATTTTCGTCGAATTTTGACATAGTCAAATTTTACACGTTTTACGAGACAATTGAGTGACGAATAACCTTTCAAAGGTACCCAAAAACGAAATTTATAAAATTTTCATATAATTGAATAAAATTTTTAAAAAAAATAAATTGAACTTAATCGGAGGTATAATAAATCGTTTCGAGACGAAAAACGGATTCGGAAGTCGGAATTATGCGGTGCAATTTGGACCACACATTAAGGGAGTATAAATAGAGGCAAATAACTAAAAAATCAGATATTTTCTCACTCATTTTGAGTCTTGTTTGGTTGACCATAGAAAGGAAAGAAAAGAGAAGAAAAACTTCAAGTTCTTCAAGCTTTCTACCTCGGATCCACTTGGACCAAGAGCTGAAGTTCATCTCCTCGACGAGGGCTACGCATACGTACCAAAAAGAGTGGGTTTCACCATGAATCCAAGAGGAGACTTTGGAAAAAATCAAAGAACTTTGAGGTAGGGTTCTTCTTACCTTGGTTTTATTCCTCTTATTTGGGGCTGTTTTAGGGGCCGAAACTATGGACTGTTTTGGGGATGAAATGAAAGACCATTTTTGGGTTAAAATATGGATTGCTATGTGGTTGTATTTTGGACTGAATTTGGGACTGTTTTATAGCTGAAATATGGACTGTTATATGGCGTGATATCAAGTTACTCGGTATCCAAGGGTATTCCGCGGGTTGATGGGTAATCAACGGACCCCTGAATTTTGGAGTATCATAGATTGGTATCAGAGCATAAGTATACGATTTACCTAGGGCTTGATGGGCATGAGTTTAGACCATTGCATTCATTGTGCATTTCATGTTATGTGCTATGTGTTATGTGAATTGTATACATGGTAAAAGGCATATGGAAAAGAGAAACACTAGGATTAGAAAACATAACCTTGGGTTCGGAAAAAGAAATTAACGGTATAGTTCTATGTGTAAATGTCTACTAGTAGGTGGCACATGTACTACTAGTGAAACAAGGAGGAAAATCTTCAAGTTTAAATATTTGATCCCTAACTTGGGATATTAAGTAATTGATCTATTGCTATCTTATGTGTGTGTAGTGTGTAGATGGCAACTAAATAATCTATTGCTATCTTATGTGTGTGTAGATGGCAACTAGAGGAAGTGGATGTCGGGGTGGACGGAACAACCAACCACTACCACCGACCTTTGACCAACAAGCCTTCATGGAGGCTATTGGTGCGGCGGCGGCTACCATTGCACAAGCTAGTGCTACGGCCGCTACTATTACACAGACAGGTGCAAGTGGGAGTCAAGGAGGTTCAAGTCACCTCTAGAAATTCAAGGCACACAATCCTCCGATCTTTTTGGGAGGGGCGGATCCTATGGTGGCTGATCATTGGTTCCAACAAATGGACAAGATCTTGAGGGCTATGAAGATTACCACCGATGCCACGAAGATAACGCTAGGTACTTTTCAGCTAAAGGGAGAATCCCAGGTGTGGTGGGATTGGGTCAAGGACTCAAGGAATTTGGAGACCATGACTTGGGCAGAGTTCAAGGAGCTCTTTATGAGCAAATATTTCCCCGCACCTGCTAGACATGCAAAGGCCTGGGAGTTCCTAGACCTCAAACAATGAACGATGTCAGTGATGGAATACGTGGCTAAGTTCACGGAATTTGCACGTTTCGCTGATGATTATGTGGCCAAAGTGAGGAAGTTCGAAGATGGCTTGAAGTTGTCCATTCGAGGCAAGATTGTGGGTCTTCTTCTACAAGACTTGGACTTAATGGTCGCCACAGTAATGGCCATTGAAAGAGAGGTGGATGATGCACGGAACATCCGGGAGGCGGGTGTGAAAGATAAGAAGAAGGAAGGTCAATCCTCTTCTTCTAGTGTAGGGAAGAAAGCAGAAGACTTCTGCTCCGCAGGGGCATCAA